AGCTGGAGACTGGGAGATCTAGCTGGAGACGGGTAGATCTAGCTGGAGACGGGGGAGAGATATAGCTGGAGACTGGGAGATCTAGCTGGAGACGGGTAGATCTAGCTGGAGACGGGGAGACCGCTGGAGACGGGGAGATCTAGCTGGAGACGGGGAGATCTAGCTGGAGACGGGGAGATCTAGCTGGAGACGGGGAGACCGCTGGAGACGGGGAGATCTAGCTGGAGACGGGGAGATCTAGCTGGAGACGGGGAGATCTAGCTGGAGACGGGGAGACGGGGAGATCTAGCTGGAGACGGGGAGATCTAGCTGGAGACGGGGAGATCTAGCTGGAGACGGGGAGATCTAGCTGGAGACGGGGAGATCTAGCTGGAGACGGGGAGATCTAGCTGGAGACGGGGAGATCTAGCTGGAGACGGGGAGATCTAGCTGAAGACGGGGAGACCGCTGGAGACGGGGAGATCTAGCTGGAGACGGGGAGATCTAGCTGGAGACGGGGAGACGGGGAGACGGGGAGATCTAGCTGGAGACGGGGAGATCTAGCTGGAGACGGGGAGATCTAGCTGAAGACGGGGAGACCGCTGGAGACGGGGGAGACATAGCAGGAGACGGGGAGATCTAGCTGTAGACGGATGGGGGAGATCTAGCTGGAGACGGACGGGGGAGATCTAGTTGGAGACGGACGGGGGAGATCTAGCTGGAAACAGGGAGACATAGCTGGAGACAGGGAGACATAGCTGGAGACAGGGGAGATCTAGCTGGATATGGGGAGATCTAGCTGGAGACGGGGGAGACATAGCTTGAGACGGGGAGATCTAGCTGGAGACGGGGAGATCTAGCTGGAGACGGGGGAGACATAGCTGGAGACGGGGGAGATCTAGCTGAAGACGAGGGAGATCTAGCTGGAGACGGGGAGACATAGCTGGATACGGGGAGATCTAGCTGGAGACGAGGAGACATAGCTGGAGACGGGGAGATCTAGCTGGAGACGAGGAGATTTAGCTGGAGACGGGGGAGAGATCTAGCTGGAGACGGGGAGATCTAGCTGGAGACGGGGAGATCTAGCTGGAGACGGGGAGATCTAGCTGGAGACGGGGAGACATAGCTGGAGACGGGGGAGAGATCTAGCTGGAGACGGGGGAGAGATCTAGCTGGAGACGGGGAGATCTAGCTGGAGACGGGGAGATCTAGCTGGAGACGGGGAGATCTAGCTGGAGACGGGGGAGACATAGCTGGAGACGGGGAGATCTAGCTGGAGACGGGGAGATCTAGCTGGAGACGGGGAGATCTAGCTGGAGACGGGAAGATCTAGCTGGAGACGGGGAGATCTAGCTGGAGACGGGGGAGAGATCTAGCTGGAGACGGGGAGATCTAGCTGGAGACGGGGGAGACATAGCTGGAGACGGGGAGATCTAGCTGGAGACGGGAAGATCTAGCTGGAGACGGGGAGATCTAGCTGGAGACGGGGGAGAGATCTAGCTGGAGACGGGGAGATCTAGCTGGAGACGGGAAGATCTAGCTGGAGACGGGGAGATCTAGCTGGAGACGGGGGAGAGATCTAGCTGGAGACGGGGAGATCTAGCTGGAGACGGGGGAGACATAGCTGGAGACGGGGAGATCTAGCTGGAGACGGGAAGATCTAGCTGGAGACGGGGGAGAGATCTAGCTGGAGACGGGGGAGAGATCTAGCTGGAGACGGGGAGATCTAGCTGGAGACGGGGGAGACATAGCTGGAGACGGGGAGATCTAGCTGGAGACGGGGAGATCTAGCTGGAGACGGGGAGATCTAGCTGGAGACGGGGAGATCTAGCTGGAGACGGGGAGATCTAGCTGGAGACGGGGAGATCTAGCTGGAGACGGGGAGATCTAGCTGGGGACGGGGAGACATAGCTGGAGACGGGGAGACATAGCTTGAGACGGGGAGATCTAGCTGGAGACGGGGAGATCTAGCTGGAGACGGGGGAGAGATCTAGCTGGAGACGGGGAGATCTAGCTGGAGACGGGCAGATCTAGCTGGAGACGGGGGAGAGATCTAGCTGGAGACGGGGAGATCTAGCTGGAGACGGGGAGATCTAGCTGGAGACGGGGAGATCTAGCTGGAGACGGGGGAGATCTAGCTGGAGACGGGGAGATCTAGCTGGAGACGGGGAGATCTAGCTGGAGACGGGGGAGATCTAGCTTGAGACGGGGAGATCTAGCTTGAGACGGGGAAATCTAGCTGGAGACGGGGAGATCTAGCTGGAGACGGGGAGATCTAGCTGGAGATGGGGAGATCTAGCTGGAGACGGGGAGATCTAGCTGGAGACAGGGAGACCGCTGGAGACAGGGGAGACATAGCTAGAGACGGGGAGATCTAGCTGGAGACGGGGAGATCTAGCTGGAGACGGGGAGATCTAGCTGGAGACGGGGAGATCTAGCTGGAGACGGGGAGACAGGGGAGACATAGCTAGAGACGGGGAGATCTAGCTGGAGACGGGGGAGACGGAGGAGATCTAGCTGGATACAGACGGAGAAGATCTAGCTGGAGACAGACGGAGGAGATCTAGCTGGAGACGGGGAGATCTAGCTAGAGACGGGAGATCGCTGGAGAAGGGGGAGAACTAGCTGGAGACAGACGGAGGAGATCTAGCTAGAGACGGGAGATCGCTGGAGACGGGGGAGATCTAGCTAGAGACGGGAGATCGCTGGAGAAGGGGGAGATCTAGCTGGAGACGGACGGGGGAGATACTGGAAATACTGGAGTCACCTCAGGACTCGGGATGAGGGTGAAGACTGGATATTCAGGTGCGGCAGCGGTCAGGGTTCAGGCGTGGTGGCGACCATCTTGGCAAAGGGTTCTGGAAATCCAAAAGATGGATTTGAGGGTTGCCTCGTTCCAGGACACCTGGTGAATGAGGTCGAGGAACTCCTCTGTGTATGCCTTGATTAGGCGGTGGTCCTGGGAGATGGAGAGAAGTAGATTGGCAGGGTCTAGCAACGAGGAGGATGCCCATCTTGCTGTGGTCTGTATAGGTCCCATGTTCTGTTACGTAAAGCAGACACTGAGAGGAAGATGGCAGGTGAATAGTGAGTTTATTGAACAATAAGGAGGCAGAGATTAGGTGAGCAGGGTAAGTGAGAATCCAAAGGGAGATCATGAGGGAGAACAGAGGAATAGAAGACACTGGTGACAGGGGGAATAGTCCACTTGGCATCAACGAGACCGGTGAAGTGTGTGCTTAAAAAGTGGCAGTAATGAGGGTGATGATGAGGTGTTTTTGTGTTCATTATCAGTTATTACACATCTGTCTGCCTGAAGATGCATTTTTTGCTATGAAATCTTATATAATTTAATTCTAATAAAAAATAAACATTATATTAATGCATTTTTGGTAAAACTTTATTTTACAGTGTCCTTTTTACATACTTACCGTAGTAATAACAGTAAATTATGAATAAATACATGTAACTAACTCTCAAACAAACCCTAACCCTATAGTAAGTACATGTAGTTGCTTAATATTACTCAGTACTTAAATATAGAATTACACTGTAAAAATGACACATTAAAATAAAGTGTAACTTTTTTTAAAGATTTTTTTTTTTTTTTTTACCTGTAAAAAAAATTTTTTTTTTTAAAGCACGTTCTTTAATTGAACTACAAAATGTGTTTTTAGCGCATGCAGAAGCAGTTACAGTCGTGTGATTTGTGTGTGTGATTTGTGTGTTTGATCAGTCGATAGTGGAACTGGAAGCTGAGATGTTGAACGGCCAGAAGCTCCAGGGTCCTCAGACGTCTGCAGAGGTTTTCAAGATCCTTCAGAAGAGAAACATGACTGACAAGTGAGTCCCAGTGACATCATCATCACATCATCATCATCATCAGCTGTGTGTGTCTGACGTCATCTGTGTGTGTGTGTGCAGGTTTCCCCTGTTCGTGTCCGTGTATCAGATCTGTTTCGAGGGTCGTCAGGTGAAGGAGTTCATCAGCTGTCTTCAGAATCACCCGGAGCACATGTGACCGACACACACACACACACACTGACTGACTGACTCACTCACACACACACTACTGGCTCTGAGGAGACGAGTCACGATCTTAATGTGGAACAGAAGGGTGTTCTGATGATCAGTGTGTTTTAATGTCTCAGTATTTGTGTAATCTCTGACTCAGGACTGTAACGCTGTTAAACGCACACTACGGTTTTACATTTGTCTTGTAGATTAATATAAAACACAGTCAATAAAAGCCATGCTGCTTATTTTAATCAGACTTTGAGCTTTATTTATTTTCACAACAGTCCACATACACACAAAATGGTAACCCTTCACAATAAGGTTCGTTAGTTAACACATGAACTAATAATGAACAATACTTCCACAGCATTTATTAATCTTAGTTAACATTAATTTTAACATACATTAAAATCAAAGGTTGTATTTAACATTAGTTAATGCACTGTGAACTAACATGAACAAACAGTGAACAGCTGTAACTAACATTAACAAAGATTAATAAATACTGTAACAAATGTATTGCTCATTGTTAGTTCATGTTAGTTAATAATACATTAACTACTTAACTAATGAACCTTATTGTAAAGTGTGACCCACAAAATTTAACTAAATTAATCAACTTTATCATGGTATTTTCCCTCGGAGGTTTAATCCATTACAGATTCTGCTGTGAATGACATCAGTGACGTTTTCGTCCAATCAGATGCTCTCTAGAATGAGAAGCTCCTCCCCCTAAACTCCCCCTGCTTCTGACTTTAACATCTAACAGACACTCTTATTGCAGAAGCACTTCTAAAAATGAAAGTGTTAATAAGTTTTAGAAGTGTAAAGCTAAACATTCAGCCCTTGCACAAAATATACATTCGACTGAATAATCAGGGCTCTAAGATTGCTAGAAACCAAAGGCAGATATCTGTGTGAGCGAGGCTGTGAAGTGGCTTTGATCACAGTGAAACTTGAGATGTGAACTAAAGGCTTCGACAGGCTTCCTGAAATCAGGAGTTTCAGGAGTCAGATCCGACTCGATCGGAGACGGTGGGGTAAATGGCAAAGCTGGAGATTCCACACATGTTTTTATTTCGTGCCATGCGTATGAAGCCCTTCTCACCCCACGCCGTCCCCCAGCTGAGAGAGAGAGAGAGAGAGAGAGAGAGAGAGAGAGAGAGAGAGAGAGAGAGAGAGAGAGAGAGAGAGAGAGAGAGAGAGAAAACAAGAGTTATTGGCCTCAAATAATCAAATTTCACATTTACACCACTAGAGGTCACTAGAGCTCAAACTGAAACACTGGGACTTGCAGGTACTGAAGTCTGACATTATTATATAAACAAATATAAAATATTATATTTATAAAAAATAGTAATATTGTCTTTACAATAATTATTAATACTATTATAAAAAATGCTAACATATAATGTTAGAATCACGTTTTAAAACCATGACACAGCCTGTAGTGATGATGAGCTCCTCTGGTGTTTGTGAGTGCGAGCAGAACCTGTTCTTGAGCAGCCAGTAGTCGAGGCCGTTCTCCGACCCGTAACCCACCACCAGAACCGCATGATTGACCAGCCCGCGGCAGTGCGGGTCACTGTAGATGCCTGAACACACACAGATCATCAATGTGTGTGTGTGATGGGTAGGTTTAAGGGTCGGGTTAGTGTGTGTGTGTCTGACTGTGTGTGTGTGATGGGTAGGTTTAGGGCTCGGGTTAGTGTGTGTGTGTGTGTGTGTGTGTGTGTGTGTGATGGGTAGGTTTAGGGCTCGAGTTTGTGTGTGTGTCTGTGTGTGTGATGGGTAGGTTTAGGGGTCGGGTTAGTGTGTGTGTGTCTGTGTGTGTGATGGGTAGGTTTAGGGCTTGGGTTAGTGTGTGTGTGTTTGTGTGTGTGTGTGTGTGTGTGTCTGACTGTGTGTGTGTGATGGGTAGGTTTAGGGCTCGAGTTTGTGTGTGTGTGTGTGTGTGTGTGTGTGATGGGTAGGTTTAGGGGTCGGGTTAGTGTGTGTGTGTGTGTGTGTGTGTCTGACTGTGTGTGTGTGATGGGTAGGTTTAGGGCTCGGGTTAGTGTGTGTGTGTGTGTCTGACTGTGTGTGTGATGGGTAGGTTTAGGGCTCGGGTTAGTGTGTGTGTGTGTGTGATGGGTAGGTTTAGGGGTCGGGTTAGTGTGTGTGTGTGTGTGTGTGTGTCTGACTGTGTGTGTGTGATGGGTAGGTTTAGGGCTCGAGTTTGTGTGTGTGTGTGTGTGTGTGATGGGCAGGTTTAGGGCTCGAGTTTGTGTGTGTGTGTGTGTGTTATGGGTAGGTTTAGGGCTCGGGTTAGTGTGGTTGTGTGTGTGTGTGTGATGGATAAGTTTATGGGTCGGGTTAGTGTGTGTGTGTGTGTGTGTATGTCTGACTGTGTGTGTGTGATAGGTTTAGGGCTCGAGTTTGTGTGTGTGTATGTGTGTGATGGGTAGGTTTAGGGCTCGGGTTAGTGTGGTTGTGTGTGTGTGTGTGATGGGTAAGTTTATGGGTCGGGTTAGTGTGTGTGTATGAGTGTGTGTGTGTGTGTATGTCTCACCTCCTCTGTATCTGTGGAATGAAGCCAGTTTGGCGTTCACACCGACGGACACCGGGCCGATGTTAGCGACGGCAATCTGAAGCGCTGCCTCGTCGTGACGCGGAAGAACCCGGAAACTAGAGCAATATCCAGCTCTCCCCTTCACTGAGTATCGACACACACCCTCCTGTACACACACACACACACACACACACACATCAGCTCTCCCCATCACTGAGTATCGACACACACCCTCCTGTACACACACACACACACACACACACATCAGCTCTCCCCATCACTGAGTATCGACACACACCCTCCTGTACACACACACACACACACACACACATCAGCTCTCCCCATCACTGAGTATCGACACATACCCTCCTGTACACACACACACACACACACACACACACACACACACACACATCAGCTCTCCCCGTCACTGAGTATCGACACACACCCTCCTGTACACACACACACACACACACACACATCAGCTCTCCCCATCACTGAGTATCGACACACATCCTCCTGTACACACACACACACACACACACACACACACATCAGCTCTCCCCATCACTGAGTATCGACACACACCCTCCTGTACACACACACACACACACATCAGCTCTCCCCATCACTGAGTATCGACACACACCCTCCTGTACACACACACACACACACACACACACATCAGCTCTCCCCGTCACTGAGTATCGACACACACCCTCCTGTACACACACACACACACACACACACATCAGCTCTCCCCATCACTGAGTATCGACACACACCCTCCTGTACACACACACACACACACACACACACACACACACACATCAGCTCTCCCCGTCACTGAGTATCGACACACACCCTCCTGTACACACACACACACACACACACACATCAGCTCTCCCCGTCACTGAGTATCGACACACACCCTCCTGTACACACACACACACACACACACACACATCAGCTCTCCCCGTCACTGAGTATCGACACACACCCTCCTGTACACACACACACACACACACACACACACACACACACACACACACACACACACACATCACCACAACATCACACACACACACACACACACACACAAACACCAGCTCTCCCCAGTATCGACACACTCTCCTGAAGTTTCAATCATTTAACAACACACGGTTCTCTGATGATGGTTAATAGTCCCATGACATGCAGCTAAACAAATAAAATATTTGGGATTTTATTTTAATTGTTTGTAATTATTTTTCATTTTAAATAATTTAGGGGTTTATTTTAATTAAAGCTATGTATTTTAATATTACATTTTTAATATTTAATAAAAAAAATCAATAAGTGTCACATATTTTTGTTTTTAAATTATTTATTTAAATTTTTATCATTTCAACAATTTTTAGTGAGTGTTTTAATTTTTTTTATCAGCTTTTCATCAGCCCTCTGCAGTTCCCTCAGGAACCTCCAGGGGTCGCACACCTCCAGCTTGGAGATTCCCTGCTTTATCCCATTCCCCATAAACATTGCTGTAGTGAACGTAAAGGCTCTGGTCTGATTCACATGTGTTTTAGACCTCAGGGAAACTGTGTCCGTCTCATTCTGAAGTACCTTGTGTTCATACGGGTAGAAGGTGTTTGAGTCGATGCCGTTGTTCTGGATGACGTAGAGAAACGCTCGGCTCAGATATCCGCCCTTACAGCCTCGGTTCCCCAAGCTCACACTGCAGTCCAGCAGGTTCTGTGGACTCAACGGAACCAGAGCGCCGGTTCTCCGCTTCATCTGCCCTTCCAGAGCCCCGGCAGCACTGAAGGCCCAGCAGGAGCCGCACCGGCCCTAAACACACACACACACACGTGTTACGCTCATGTGATCATACAAGTGTTACGCTCCTGTGATCACACACGTTACGCTCATGTGATCATACAAGTGTTACGCTCCTGTGATCACACAAGTGTTACGCTCCTGTGATCACACAAGTGTTACGCTCCTGTGATCATACACGTGTTACGCTCATGTGATCATACAAGTGTTACGCTCCTGTGATCACACACGTGTTACGCTCCTGTGATCACACAAGTGTTACGCTCCTGTGATCACACAAGTGTTACGCTCCTGTGATCACACACGTGTTACGCTCCTGTGATCACACAAGTGTTACGCTCCTGTGATCATACACGTGTTACGCTCATGTGATCACACACGTGTTACGCTCCTGTGATCACACACGTGTTACGCTCCTGTGATCACACACGTGTTACGCTCCTGTGATCATACGTGTTACGCTCCTGTGATCATACACGTGTTACGCTCATGTGATCATACAAGTGTTACGCTCCTGTGATCACACACGTGTTACGCTCCTGTGATCACACACGTGTTACGCTCCTGTGATCATACGTGTTACGCTCATGTGATCATACAAGTGTTACGCTCCTGTGATCATACACGTGTTACGCTCATGTGATCATACAAGTGTTACGCTCCTGTGATCATACAAGTGTTACGCTCCTGTGATCAGACACGTGTTACGCTCATGTGATCACACACGTGTTACGCTCCTGTGATCATACACGTGTTACGCTCCTGTGATCACACAAGTGTTACGCTCCTGTGATCATACACGTGTTACGCTCCTGTGATCACACAAGTGTTACGCTCCTGTGATCATACACGTGTTACGCTCATGTGATCACACACGTGTTACGCTCCTGTGATCACACACGTGTTACGCTCCTGTGATCACACACGTGTTACGCTCCTGTGATCATACGTGTTACGCTCCTGTGATCATACACGTGTTACGCTCATGTGATCATACAAGTGTTACGCTCCTGTGATCACACACGTGTTACGCTCCTGTGATCACACACGTGTTACGCTCCTGTGATCATACGTGTTACGCTCATGTGATCATACAAGTGTTACGCTCCTGTGATCATACACGTGTTACGCTCATGTGATCATACAAGTGTTACGCTCCTGTGATCATACAAGTGTTACGCTCCTGTGATCATACAAGTGTTACGCTCCTGTGATCACACACGTGTTACGCTCCTGTGATCATACAAGTGTTACGCTCATGTGATCATACAAGTGTTACGCTCCTGTGATCACACACATGTTACGCTCCTGTGATCACACACGTGTTACGCTCCTGTGATCATACAAGTGTTACGCTCATGTGATCACACACGTGTTACGCTCCTGTGATCATACAAGTGTTACGCTCATGTGATCATACAAGTGTTACGCTCCTGTGATCACACACATGTTACGCTCCTGTGATCATACAAGTGTTACGCTCATGTGATCACACACGTGTTACGCTCCTGTGATCATACAAGTGTTACGCTCCTGTGATCATACAAGTGTTACGCTCCTGTGATCACACACATGTTACGCTCCTGTGATCATACACGTGTTACGCTCATGTGATCATACAAGTGTTACGCTCCTGTGATCATACAAGTGTTACGCTCCTGTGATCACACACATGTTACGCTCCTGTGATCACACACGTGTTACGCTCATGTGATCATACAAGTGTTACGCTCCTGTGATCACACACGTGTTACGCTCCTGTGATCATACAAGTGTTACGCTCCTGTGATCATACAAGTGTTACGCTCCTGTGATCATACAAGTGTTACGCTCCTGTGATCATACAAGTGTTACGCTCCTGTGATCATACAAGTGTTACGCTCCTGTGATCATACAAGTGTTACGCTCCTGTGATCATACAAGTGTTACGCTCCTGTGATCACACACGTGTTACGCTCATGTGATCATACAAGTGTTACGCTCCTGTGATCACACACGTGTTACGCTCCTGTGATCATACAAGTGTTACGCTCCTGTGATCACACACGTTACGCTCCTGTGATCACACACGTGTTACGCTCCTGTGATCACATACATGTTACGCTCCTGTGATCACACAAGTGTTACGCTCCTGTGATCACACAAGTGTTACGCTCCTGTGATCACACACGTGTTACGCTCATGTGATCATACAAGTGTTACGCTCCTGTGATCACACACGTGTTACGCTCATGTGATCATACAAGTGTTACGCTCCTGTGATCACACACATGTTACGCTCCTGTGATCACACACGTGTTACGCTCCTGTGATCACACACGTGTTACGCTCCTGTGATCATACAAGTGTTACGCTCATGTGATCACACACGTGTTACGCTCCTGTGATCACACACGTTACGCTCCTGTGATCACACACGTGTTACGCTCCTGTGATCACACACGTGTTACGCTCCTGTGATCACACACGTGTTACGCTCCTGTGATCACACACATGTTACGCTCCTGTGATCACACACGTGTTACGCTCCTGTGATCACACACGTGTTACGCTCATGTGATCACACAAGTGTTACGCTCATGTGATCATACACGTGTTACGCTCATGTGATCACACACGTGTTACGCTCCTGTGATCATACAAGTGTTACGCTCCTGTGATCAGACACGTGTTACGCTCATGTGATCACACACGTGTTACGCTCCTGTGATCACACACGTGTTACGCTCCTGTGATCACACACATGTTACGCTCCTGTGATCATACAAGTGTTACGCTCCTGTGATCACACACGTGTTACGCTCCTGTGATCACACACGTGTTACGCTCATGTGATCATACAAGTGTTACGCTCATGTGATCATACACGTGTTACGCTCATGTGATCACACACGTGTTACGCTCCTGTGATCATACAAGTGTTACGCTCCTGTGATCAGACACGTGTTACGCTCATGTGATCACACACGTGTTACGCTCCTGTGATCACACACGTGTTACGCTCCTGTGATCATACAAGTGTTACGCTCCTGTGATCATACAAGTGTTACGCTCATGTGATCACACACGTGTTACGCTCCTGTGATCACACACGTGTTACGCTCCTGTGATCACACACGTGTTACGCTCATGTGATCATACAAGTGTTACGCTCCTGTGATCACACACGTGTTACGCTCCTGTGATCACACACGTGTTACGCTCCTGTGATCACACACGTGTTACGCTCATGTGATCATACAAGTGTTACGCTCATGTGATCATACACGTGTTACGCTCATGTGATCACACACGTGTTACGCTCCTGTGATCATACAAGTGTTACGCTCCTGTGATCAGACACGTGTTACGCTCATGTGATCACACACGTGTTACGCTCCTGTGATCACACACGTGTTACGCTCCTGTGATCATACAAGTGTTACGCTCCTGTGATCATACAAGTGTTACGCTCCTGTGATCATACAAGTGTTACGCTCATGTGATCACACACGTGTTACGCTCCTGTGATCACACACGTGTTACGCTCATGTGATCACACAAGTGTTACGCTCCTGTGATCACACACGTGTTACGCTCCTGTGATAACACACGTGTTACGCTCCTGTGATCACACACGTGTTACGCTCATGTGATCACACAAGTGTTACGCTCCTGTGATCACACACGTGTTACGCTCCTGTGATCAAACAAGTGTTACGCTCCTGTGATCACACACGTGTTACGCTCCTGTGATCATACAAGTCTTACGCTCCTGTGATCACACACGTGTTACGCTCCTGTGATCACACACGTGTTACGCTCCTGTGATCATACAAGTGTTACGCTCATGTGATCATACAAGTGTTACGCTCCTGTGATCATACAAGTGTTACGCTCCTGTGATCATACACGTGTTACGCTCCTGTGATCATACAAGTGTTACGCTCATGTGATCATACACGTGTTACGCTCCTGTGATCATACACGTGTTACGCTCCTGTGATCATACAAGTGTTACGCTCATGTGATCATACAAGTGTTACGCTCCTGTGATCATACAAGTGTTACGCTCCTGTGATCATACACGTGTTACGCTCCTGTGATCATACAAGTGTTACGCTCATGTGATCATACACGTGTTACGCTCCTGTGATCACACACGTGTTACGCTCCTGTGATCACATACGTGTTACATTCCTGTGATCACACACGTGTTACGCTCCTGTGATCACACACGTGTTACGCTCCTGTGATCACACACGTGTTACGCTCCTGTGATCACACACGTGTTACGCTCCTGTGATCAGATACGTGTTACGCTCCTGTGATCATACAAGTGTTACGCTCCTGTGATCACACAAGTGTTACGCTCCTGTGATCACACAAGTGTTACGCTCATGTGATCATACAAGTGTTACGCTCCTGTGATCACACAAGTGTTACGCTCCTGTGATCACACAAGTGTTACGCTCCTGTGATCATACAAGTGTTACGCTCCTGTGATCACACAAGTGTTACGCTCCTGTGATCACACAAGTGTTACGCTCCTGTGATCATACAAGTGTTACGCTCCTGTGATCATACAAGTGTTATGCTCCTGTGATCATACACGTGTTACGCTCCTGTGATCATACAAGTGTTACGCTCATGTGATCACACACGTGTTACGCTCCTGTGATCATACAAGTGTTACGCTCCTGTGATCATACAGGTGTTACGCTCCTGTGATCATACAAGTGTTATGCTCCTGTGATCATACACGTGTTACGCTCATGTGATCATACAAGTGTTACGCTCCTGTGATCACACACGTGTTACGCTCATGTGATCACACACGTGTTACGCTCCTGTGATCACACACATGTTACGCTCCTGTGATCACACACGTGTTACGCTCCTGTGATCACACACGTGTTACGCTCCTGTGATCATACAAGTGTTACGCTCCTGTGATCATACAAGTGTTACGCTCCTGTGATCACACACGTGTTACGCTCATGTGATCATACAAGTGTTACGCTCCTGTGATCACACACGTGTTACGCTCATGTGATCACACACGTGTTACGCTCCTGTGATCACACACGTGTTACGCTCCTGTGATCACACACGTGTTACGCTCATGTGATCACACAAGTGTTACGCTCCTGTGATCACACACGTGTTACGCTCCTGTGATCATACAAGTGTTACGCTCCTGTGATCACACACGTGTTACGCTCCTGTGATCACACAAGTGTTTTACGCTCCTGTGATCACACAAGTGTTACGCTCCTGTGATCACACACGTGTTACGCTCCTATGATCACACACGTGTTACGCTCCTGTGATCACACACGTGTTACGCTCATGTGATCACACACGTGTTACGCTCATGTGATCATACAAGTGTTACGCTCCTGTGATCACACACGTGTTACGCTCCTGTGATCATACAAGTGTTACGCTCCTGTGATCACACACGTGTTACGCTCATGTGATCATACAAGTGTTACGCTCCTGTGATCACACACGTGTTACGCTCATGTGATCACACACGTGTTACGCTCCTGTGATCATACAAGTGTTACGCTCCTGTGATCATACAAGTGTTACGCTCCTGTGATCACACACATGTTACGCTCCTGTGATCACACACGTGTTACGCTCCTGTGATCACACACGTGTTACGCTCATGTGATCATACAAGTGTTACGCTCCTGTGATCACACACGTGTTGCGCTCCTGTGATCACACACGTGTTACGCTCATGTGATCATACAAGTGTTACGCTCATGTGATCATACACGTGTTACGCTCCTGTGATCATACAAGTGTTACGCTCCTGTGATCATACAAGTGTTACGCTCATGTGATCATACAAGTGTTACGCTCCTGTGATCAGACACGTGTTACGCTCATGTGATCACACACGTGTTACGCTCCTGTGATCACACACGTGTTACGCTCCTGTGATCATGCAAGTGTTACGCTCCTGTGATCATACAAGTGTTACGCTCATGTGATCACACACGTGTTACGCTCCTGTGATCACACACGTGTTACGCTCATGTGATCACACAAGTGTTACGCTCCTGTGATCACACACGTGTTACGCTCCTGTGATCACACACGTGTTACGCTCCTGTGATCACACACGTGTTACGCTCATGTGATCACACAAGTGTTACGCTCCTGTGATCACACACGTGTTACGCTCCTGTGATCATACAAGTGTTACGCTCCTGTGATCACACACGTGTTACGCTCCTGTGATCATACAAGTGTTACGCTCCTGATCACACACGTGTTACGCTCCTGTGATCATACAAGTGTTACGCTCCTGTGATCATACACGTGTTACGCTCCTGTGATCATACAAGTGTTACGCTCCTGTGATCATACAAGTGTTACGCTCCTGTGATCATACAAGTGTTACGCTCCTGATCAGACACGTGTTACGCTCCTGTGATCGCACACACACACACACACACACACCTGGTTCTGGACGGGACTGACCATCCCGTGCTCCGTCCAGTTGACTCTGGGTGGGACGGGCCGGTGATCGTGTGACAGAGGTCTGAACGTCACGTTGACTTCGGGAAGATCTTCCTCCAATAAACCGTTCATCAGAGGATTGACTTCATCTGCATTCTGAACACACACACACACACACACACACACCGTTCATGTGACCTTTGACCTGCACTGACATAAAGAAAGGGCTTTTCTTTTCTAAAAAAATTATCAAAATGAAGTGAATTTATGCTTCATAAAATGAGAAAAAAATATTTTTAATTATTTATTTTAATTATTAAGGTTGATTTTCTTTAAAAAAAATGATATTCTTTCTCGTTGTATTAATATAATAAACACAAGCTCACTTCATTTTGATCAATTTGACTTCTAATGTAATTTATGAATGTTTAGAAATTTATTGTAATTTAAAATTACATTTTAATGATTTAATTCATTTAAATCAGTTTCATTTTGATTGTTTATATTTTAATATGGCTTGAATTTGGCATTTTTATGTTTTTTTTATGCAGATTGTTTTTACTTTAAATTATTTATTTTAAATGTATATTTTATTAATGTGTGTGTGTGATAAAGCACCATGTCGCTGAGCTGGTTCAGTCCCAGTGTGTGTGTGTGTGTGTGTGTGTGTGTGTGTGTGTGTGTGTGTGTGTGTGTGTGTGTGTGTGATAAAGCACCATGTCGCTGAGCTGGTTCAGTCCCAGTGTGTGTGTGTGTGTGTGTGTGTGTGTGTGTGTGTGTGTGTGTGTGTGTGTGTGTGTGTGTGTGTGTGTGTGTGTGTGTGTGTGTGTGATAAAGCACCATGTCGCTGAGCTGGTTCAGTCCCAGTGTATGTGTGTGTGTGTGTGTGTGTGTGTTAAAGCACCATGTCGCTGAGCTGGTTAAGTCCCAGTGTGTGTGTGTGTGTTAAAGCACCATGTCGCTGAGCTGGTTCAGTCCCAGTGTGTGTGTGTGTGTTAAAGCACCATGTCGCTGAGCTGGTTCAGTCCCAGTGTGTGTGTGTGTGTTAAAGCACCATGTCGCTGAGCTGGTTCAGTCCCAGTGTGTGTGTGTGTGTGTGTGTGTGTGTGTTAAAGCACCATGTCGCTGAGCTGGTTCAGTCCCAGTGTGTGTGTGTGTGTTAAAGCACCATGTCGCTCAGCTGGTTCAGTCCCAGTGTGTATGTGTGCAGACCGACGGCCGTCTCCTCGTTGTGTTTGAGGATCTCCAACAGATTCTGCTCCCAGACGGCTCTCCTGTGGCGCTCCTCTCTCTGCAACACACACACGCACACACACACACACACGCACACACACAAACACACTACATGATTCCTGTCTGTATAGTGTGCACTAGACACGACACACACTGCATGATTCCTCACTGTATAGTGTGCATTAGACACGACACACACTGCATGATTCCTCACTGTATAGTGTGCACTAGACACAACACACACTACATGTTTCCTCACTGTATAGTGTGCACTAGACAGAACACATACTACATGATTCCTCACTGTATACTGTGCACTAGACACAACACACACTACATGTTTCCTCACTGTATAGTGTGCACTAGACAGAACACATACTACATGATTCCTCACTGTATACTGTGCACTAGACACAACACACACTACATGTTTCCTCACTGTATAGTGTGCACTAGACACAACACACACTACATGTTTCCTCACTGTATAGTGTGCACTAGACACGACACACACTACATGATTCCTCACTGTATACTGTGCACTAGACACAACACACACTACATGTTTCCTCACTGTATAGTGTGCACTAGACACGACACACACTACATTATTCCTCACTGTATAGTGTGCAGTAGACACGACACACACTACATGTTTCCTCACTGTATACTGTGCACTAGACTCGACACACACTACATGTTTCCTCACTGTATACTGTGCACTAGACTCGACACACACTACATGTTTCCTCACTGTATACTGTGCACTAGACACAACACACACTACATGTTTCCTCACTGTATACTGTGCACTAGACTCGACACACACTACATGTTTCCTCACTGTATAGTGTGCACTAGACACGACACACACTACATGATTCCTCACTGTATACTGTGCACTAGACACAACACACACTACATGTTTCCTCACTGTATAGTGTGCACTAGACACAACACACACTACATGTTTCCTCACTGTATAGTGTGCACTAGACACGACACACACTACATGATTCCTCACTGTATACTGTGCACTAGACACAACACACACTACATGTTTCCTCACTGTATAGTGTGCACTAGACACGACACACACTACATTATTCCTCACTGTATAGTGTGCAGTAGACACGACACACACTACATGTTTCCTCACTGTATACTGTGCACTAGACTCGACACACACTACATGTTTCCTCACTGTATACTGTGCACTAGACTCGACACACACTACATGTTTCCTCACTGTATACTGTGCACTAGACACAACACACACTACATGTTTCCTCACTGTATACTGTGCACTAGACTCGACACACACTACATGTTTCCTCACTGTATACTGTGCACTAGACACAACACACACTACATGATTCCTCACTGTATACTGTGCACTAGACACAACACACACTACATGTTTCCTCACTGTATAGTGTGCACTAGACACAACACACACTACATGTTTCCTCACTGTATAGTGTGCACTAGACACGACACACACTACATGATTCCTCACTGTATACTGTGCACTAGACACAACACACACTACATGTTTCCTCACTGTATAGTGTGCACTAGACACGACACACACTACATTATTCCTCACTGTATAGTGTGCAGTAGACACGACACACACTACATGTTTCCTCACTGTATACTGTGCACTAGACTCGACACACACTACATGTTTCCTCACTGTATACTGTGCACTAGACACAACACACACTACATGATTCCTCACTGTATAGTGTGCACTAGACACAACACACACTACATGTTTCCTCACTGTATAGTGTGCACTAGACACAACACACACTACATGATTCCTCACTGTATAGTGTGCACTAGACACGACACACACTACATGATTCCTCACTGTATACTGTGCACTAGACAGAACACACACTACATGATTCCTCACTGTATAGTGTGCACTAGACACAACACACACTACATGTTTCCTCACTGTATACTGTGCACTAGACACAACACACACTACATGATTCTAGTGTGCACTAGACACAACACACACTACATGTTTCCTCACTGTATAGTGTGCACTAGACACAACACACACTACATGTTTCCTCACTGTATAGTGTGCACTAGACACAACACACACTACATGTTTCCTCACTGTATAGTGTGCACTAGAGACAACACACACTACATGTTTCCTCACTGTATAGTGTGCACTAGACACAACACACACTACACGATTCCTCACTGTATACTGTGCACTAGACACAACACACACTACATGTTTCCTCACTGTATTGTGTGCACTAGACACACACTACATGATTCCTCACTGTATAGTGTGCACTAGACACAACACACACTACATGTTTCCTCACTGTATACTGTGCACTAGACACGACACACACTACATGTTTCCTCACTGTATAGTGTGCACTAGACACGACACACACTACATTATTCCTCACTGTATAGTGTGCACTAGACACGACACACATTACATGTTTCCTCACTGTATACTGTCCACTAGACACGACACACACTACATGTTTCCTCACTGTATAGTGTGCACTAGAAACGACACACACTACATGTTTCCTCACTGTATAGTGTGCACTAGACACAACACACACTACATGATTCCTCACTGTATAGTGTGCACTAGACACAACACACACTACATGATTCCTCACTGTATACTGTGCACTAGACACAACACATACTACATGTTTCCTCACTGTATAGTGTGCACTAGACACAACACACACTACATGTTTCCTCACTGTATAGTGTGCACTAGACACGACACACACTACATGTTTCCTCACTGTATACTGTGCACTAGACACGACACACACTACATGATTACTTACTGTATAGTGTGCACTAGACACGACACACACTACATGTTTCCTCACTGTATACTGTGCACTAGACACGACACACACTACATGATTACTCACTGTATAGTGTGCACTAGACACAACACACACTACATGTTTCCTCACTGTATAGTGTGCACTAGACAGAACACATACTACATGATTCCTCACTGTATAGTGTGCACTAGACACAACACACACTACATGATTCCTCACTGTATACTGTGCACTAGACACAACACACACTACATGATTCCTCACTGTATAGTGTGCACTAGACAGAAGACACACTACATGTTTCCTCACTGTATAGTGTGCACTAGACACGACACACACTACATGATTACTCACTGTATAGTGTGCACTAGACACAACACACACTACATGTTTCCTCACTGTATACTGTGCACTAGACACGACACACACTACATGATTACTCACTGTATAGTGTGCACTAGACACAACACACACTACATGTTTCCTCACTGTATAGTGTGCACTAGACAGAACACATACTACATGATTCCTCACTGTATAGTGTGCACTAGACACAACACACACTACATGATTCCTCACTGTATACTGTGCACTAGACACAACACACACTACATGATTCCTCACTGTATACTGTGCACTAGACACAACACACACTACACGATTCCTCACTGTATACTGTGCACTAGACACAACACACACTACATGATTCCTCACTGTATACTGTGCACTAGACACAACACACACTACATGATTCCTCACTGTATACTGTGCACTAGACACAACACACACTACATGATTCCTCACTGTATAGTGTGCACTAGACAGAACACACACTACATGTTTCCTCACTGTATAGTGTGCACTAGACAGAACACACACTACATGTTTCCTCACTGTATAGTGTGCACTAGACACAACACACACTACATGATTCCTCACTGTATAGTGTGCACTAGACACAACACACACTACATGATTCCTCACTGTATAGTGTGCACTAGACAGAACACACACTACATGTTTCCTCACTGTATAGTGTGCACTAGACAGAACACACACTACATGTTTCCTCACTGTATAGTGTGCACTAGACAGAACACACACTACATGTTTCCTCACTGTATAGTGTGCACTAGACACAACACACACTACATGATTCCTCACTGTATAGTGTGCACTAGACACGACACACACTACATGATTCCTCACTGTATAGTGTGCACTAGACAGAACACACACTACATGTTTCCTCACTGTATAGTGTGCACTAGACAGAACACACACTGCATGATTCCTCACTGTATAGTGTGCACTAGACACAACACACACTACATGATTCCTCACTGTATACTGTGCACTAGACACAACACACACTACATGATTCCTCACTGTATACTGTGCACTAGACACAACACACACTACATGATTCCTCACTGTATAGTGTGCACTAGACAGAACACACACTACATGTTTCCTCACTGTATAGTGTGCACTAGACAGAACACACACTACATGTTTCCTCACTGTATAGTGTGCACTAGACACGACACACACTACATGTTTCCTCACTGTATAGTGTGCACTAGACACGACACACACTACATGTTTCCTCACTGTATAGTGTGCACTAGACACAACACACACTACATGTTTCCTCACTGTATAGTGTGCACTAGACACAACACACACTACATGATTCCTCACTGTATAGTGTGCACTAGACACAACACACACTACATGTTTCCTCACTGTATAGTGTGCACTAGACACAACACACACTACATGTTTCCTCACTGTATAGTGTGCACTAGACACAACACACACTACATGTTTCCTCACTGTATAGTGTGCACTAGACACGACACACACTACATGTTTCCTCACTGTATAGTGTGCACTAGACACAACACACACTACATGTTTCCTCACTGTATAGTGTGCACTAGACACAACACACACTACATGATTCCTCACTGTATAGTGTGCACTAGACACAACACACACTACATGTTTCCTCACTGTATAGTGTGCACTAGACACAACACACACTACATGTTTCCTCACTGTATAGTGTGCACTAGACACAACACACACTACATGTTTCCTCACTGTATAGTGTGCACTAGACACGACACACACTACATGTTTCCTCACTGTATAGTGTGCACTAGACACGACACACACTACATGATTCCTCACTGTATAGTGTGCACTAGACACGACACACAGTACATGATTACTCACTGTATAGTGTGCACTAGACACGACACACACTACATGATTACTCACTGTATAGTGTGCACTAGACACGACACAGGACAGCTTGGGTTTACTCGGTCAGATTAGTGTTGTCCAATCACAGTCCTGCTTGGCTGCCGTTATTTAATCATTTTACGCTCACTTGAGCTGATTGTGTCTCGATCGAGGCTCAGTCCTGCAGTGTGTGTGTGTGTGTGTGTGTTTGTGATTGTGTCTCGATCGAGGCTCGGATTTAAACAATGTGATTGATGACATTATAGTGTCAGTGAAGAGCTCAGGTGTCGAACATCACAAACCTCATTCTGCTGATCTCAGTTCAGTGGGTCAAACAGAGCAGAGAGAGAGAGTGTGTGTGTGTGTGTGTGTGTGTACTCACTGTGTTTCTGTAGCTCTTATTGTGTTGAGATTTCCAGGCCATCCACTGATCCGTCAGACGACTGATCTCAGAACAGACCAGAGTCACACACAGAAGAACCAGAACAATCCTGATGATCAGCATACCTGCACACACACACACGCACACGCACACGCGCACACACACACACACACACACGCACACACACACACAGTTCTGTGTTTATGATGTCATCTGACTGTGAAACTGAAGTCTGTTACCCATAACCCGGTGTTACTGCATCATAAACGCTTTATGTTAATCATTTGTCATTTATTAGCATCTGCTAACAAATTACAGTAATTAAAATCAAGTTATTAAATAAAAATACATAATAATCATATATATATATAATTAATATTATACTTTAAATAGTATATAATATTCTATTTTTATTTAATATCATTTTAAATATTATATTCAAAAATGAAAAATAAGAGACTCAGAAACTGCTAGTAAATTTCACAATTAATTATAAAGAAATAGTAAATAACATTAAATTAAACGTGAAATTTTGAAGTCGAAAGACTGAACTGGTATTTTCTTGTAAAACATTCTCCAGTTACAACTTTACCAAATCATTTTCTACCCTGTACTACGGTATTTTTGCCAGAAAACCGTATTTCTGAAACATCTGATTGACGAAGATGTGTTTTTGGGGTGTTTTCTCGACTAGATATTAAAAAGAAATGTCTTTAACCCAGCTAAAAAAAAAAAAAAAAAAAATGTTTTCATTAAGTTATGAAAACATTATTTCTGAATGTTCTCTGAACGGGCAGCACTTTATTCTACTGTCCTGTTCTGCATTTATGAACTTGTACTTATTTTATCAATAGTAATAACTGTGTAATAACTAATAATCCTGGACCTGTATTCCCTCATATTCCCAGTACTGTAAGTACACACACACACTCTTCATAACATCCAGCTTTCTAAACGTTTCTCTGGGTTATGTGAACGCTAAGGGAACACTCCATCGTATCGTTCTTCAATCATTATGGAACGTTACTTTTGAATCTGAACGTTCTGGAACAAGTAACATTTAAAAAACATTCGTCGAACATCCAAATAAAACATTTCAGAGAAAACGCTCATAATAATGTTTTTGTTCTAACGTTTTGAGAACATTATGAAAGAGCAGATAACTGAATGAACGGGGAGAGAATGTTCCCTGTTTGCTATGGTGATGTTTATGATTTAGAATGTATGTAAAAACAAACTTTTTTTTTTACCAGATGTTTGTACAGTAAACACAGTGTTTTATGAAGCGCTATAGATATAGATATAGATATAGATATAGATATAGATATAGATATACTATATAGATATAGTAAACGAGATGCAGGATCTTACCAGCGTCTGAGAGAGAAGAGATAAACACACACTTTCTGCCCTCACTTTAACAGCTTCTGAAAGAGGAAGTCACATCATTATCTCCACACACATACACACACACACACACATACACACACACTCCGCTTCTGTTTGTGTTCTCTCGTCTCCAGCACGACTCTGTCTGATTCTGTCTGTCATGTGAACTCCATTATCAGTGTGTGTTTCTCATCGCCTGATGTTTGAGTTCTGGTGAGTTCAGGGATCAGACCTCTGGAACTATTCAAGTGTGTGTGTGTGTGTGTGTGTGTAAGTAAGTAAGTAAGCTTTATGTATATAGCACCTTTCACAGATAAAATCACAAAGTGCTTGTGCTTGTGTGTGTGTGTGTGATGTTCAGACGTTTGACACCCGCAGGAGGGTGTGTAACTCTGAGACAGCAGAGCTGATGCTGACGGGTGTGTTACTGACGCTGCACATGTCATGTGTGTTATTGTAAAACACACACACACACACACACACACACACACACACACACACAATGGACTGATGTAAAAACTATCATAGCAACTTGACAAGAAAGCACATAAAATGACAATTTGTAAAATGACTCATATGTAGAGTTTAAGTGTAAAACATTCAAACACTGATCATCTAAAGCAAACACTGATCACCATAATGGCGACTCGAAACGAAAAATTCCAGTAGCACCTCATTGCAGTACACGAGATCCAGGGGGCGGAGTTGGATCCAGATCTAAGGGGTGGTGATGGGTAGGATTAGGGGTGGGGTTAGGGATCAGGGGGCGGAGATGGGTAGGATTAGGGGTGGGGTTAGGGATCAAGGGGCGGAGATGGGTAGGATTAGGGGTGGGGTTAGGGATCAGGGGGCGGAGATGGGTAGGTTTAGGTATATGTAAGGTGGGAGGAGTTGGATCTGAATCTAACTCCTCCCCCTGGATTTCGTGTTCTGCAGTGAGGACCATCTCAAAAATTCCATAAAACATTTCCGTCTGTTCTTTTTTTTCTTTTTTCTCTTTCCTTCAATGATTCTTCTTATTAACATTAGGTGTCACCACTAATGGCCAATCATCACTTAATTAAACACTTAATTATCTCATTAACTTCAGTGTTAATTTTGAACACCCTGTAGTTGGACCTACATGTACACCGAGGAGTGTTAATTTAACACTGTACATGTGAAATAATATAACACTTGTTTCAGGACAACCCGATTTGGGTTGTTTTAGCCCAAGGGCTGGGTGAATATGCCTGAACACATGTTGTGCTAATTTTACCCAGTAAATCGGTTTGTTTATTTAATCCCTGATATTTGTTTGTTGTTTAATTCATTTTTTAATGTTAATGCTCGCTTACTATTATTATAAGCAAATATATGCAAGTGCGAGTAAGCTTACAAAATAATCTAATTAGATAGCCTATACATCCACAAAACACAAATAAATAAAATAAAATACAAATAATATAGGAAAAATAAAAAATGCATGGCTACAGACTGCTTAGATTTTCACTTTAATTCCAGCAGTCAGAACATATTTACACTAAGCTTACTTTCTCTTCTTCCCTTTTCGGCTCCCGAAATATAGCCTACCGTTTGGATGTAATTTCTACTACAACTTTACTTTAATCTCCGTATTGTTATTTAGTTTCATTGAATTAAAAACAACATTGATGTGTTGCGAGACGACTTGTTATTATGAGCGACTGGAGAACTGAGGCAAATCCAGATGAGTCGCTATTACCGTAGAGATTAGAATAATTGGGTCCTGTCATGAATTATGTGGCTGTTGTTCCTTTTTTTGGCCATGTGAGGTCCTCAGTGTTCTTTTGCTGTTGTTTTATGCCTGCCACGTGTTCTCATTATTGATTAATTAGTTTCACCTGAACCTTGTTAAGTTGCCTATTTAAAACCCCTGTTGTCTTGAGTTCTTTGCTCAGTCTTGAGTTGACTATACCTTTCCGGGAGTTATTTTTCCAGTGTATTTTTGTTTGTTACCGACCTGTTCATGCCTGTTTTTTGGATTATGAGGTTGCCTCCTGTTTTTGGATTATTCAATGATTTTGACTAAAATAGTGGACTCTGACCTTTGCCTGGATTATACTTTTTGTTTTTGCCATTCCTTGTTGGATTCTTTTGCCCTGCTTTTCAAGTAAAGCCCTTGAACTGAGTTCTTGTCTCTGCCTCTGCATTTTGAGTCTAATACACCACATTGTGGCACTGAGGTAGTGCTTTGCCCTGCTACGCAGGAGACCCGGGTTCGATTCCCAGTCGGACAGAACAGCAAGACTGAGCCATGGAAGAAGACTCAGCAGAGACGCAGCAGAGACCTTCTCCCGGTCTTCCATCATTGGAACAGATGTATGCAGCGGTGGTCAGTCATGATGCTACAGTACTTCACCATGAGCAGCGACTGCGGACTCATGAGAGTGCCTTTAGCCGCCATGAACAACTTCTCCATGACATCCACCAGACTCTGACCACCTTAGTTAATCGTCCTTCTCCACCTCCAGCCCCAGCCCCAGCTCCTTCTGTGCCTCCAGTTCCACCCGCTCCAGTTCAGCCTGCCTGAGGTTCTGAACGGGAGTTGCTGTTATGTCCGACTGGGAATCGAACCCAGGTCTCCTGCGTAGCAGGGCAAAGCACTACTTCAGTGCCACAATGTGGTGTATTAGACTCAAAATGCAGAGGCAATGGCAAAAACAAAAAGTACAATCCAGGCAAAAATCAGAGTCCACTATCTTAGTCAAAATCATTGAATAATCCAAAAACAGGAGGCAACCTTATAATCCAAAAAACAGGCATGAACAGGTCGGTAACAAACAAAAATACACTGGAAAAATAACTCCCGGAAAGGTATAGTCAACTCAAGACTGAGCAAAGAACTCAAGACAACAGGGGTTTTAAAAATGCAACTTAACAAGGTTCAGGTGAAACTAATTAATCAATAATGAGAACATGTGGCAGGCATAAAACAACAACAAAAGAACACTGAGGACCTCACATGGCCAAAAAAAGGAACAACAGCCACATAATTCATGACAGGACCCCTGTCCTGATAGATAGACCTACTTCTAACCTCACCCTAACCCTAACCTCCTGCAGCTTCAGGAACAGCGCTTTCAGCTGCAGACTCAGGGACAGCGCTTACTGTTGCAAGCTCAGGAACCGCGCTCGCGGCTGCAGAGTCAGGAGATGGCGATGGGAAACAGGAAGCTCCCTTCCTTCTCCTCTTTCTCTTTGGCCGCGGGGCAATGGTCACAGCGGGGCTCGCGATCGGCTGGCCGGGCTCAATGGGGGACGAAACAGGAACAGAGAAGACCACCTCTGGTTGGGTGAGCTCAGATGACGATGACTCCGAGGGGGAATCCCAAGAAACCCGTCTCCCTCGTTTACCACGGAGGTCAGCGGGTGTGGAAGATGCCTCTGGAGTCGAAACAAGGGGACTCTGGTCTCCCAGCGTCACGACGCCAATCATACGACCCTCCGGGATGACAGGAAGACAGGCAGACGAAAACCTTGAGGAACCCATTGACTCTCTCCGAGACAAGCAATCCACCACTGCTCGAAATGGGCGAAGAGTAAGCGACTCCCGTTCAGACAGAGGAGGTGGAGAGTTGAGACCGGCAATGAAGTAGCGAGAAACCAGGACCTCAGGCAGGAAGAATCTCTTCTCTTCTACGACTTGTGCATTCCTCTTCAGGGACAACTCACCCTGGGGAGGGAATGGAAGTCTTCCAGCTCTACTTTCAGCGATGGCCGACTGCCACCATAGTTCTTGGTCAGTCGGTTGTGGTCTAGCGGGGAAAGACATACAGTCTGCTGGGTTCTTCTGTGGTCGGTTCATTCTGTCATGTGGGTGGCGGATGAACCCAGGCGCAGACAGTATGCAATCACAGAACGTTTATTGTAGACAGAAAACAGGGAAAACAAAACCCAAGAGGGGGTAAAACAAAGGCAACTCTGACGAGGGAAGACTAAACTAGACTAACACTTGACAAACTAGACTATAAACTAACAACAGAAACAGGATCAGTAAAACACTAGACAAAACTCTCACAAGGTACTCACAAATGACTCACACAACGTATGACAAAGTCAAACAATGAACCGACACAGGACAGCAAACACAAGGGGATTATAAAGGGAACACTAATGACAAGGACAGGTGAAACTGACTAGACAATAATGACGAGACGAGGATAACAAGGGGGCGGGGTAACGTAACGAGACAACACAAGCACATGGCCCAAGCAAAAGGCCATGTGCTTGTACACAAAACATGAGTCTGCCATGATCCTGCCACAAGACTAGAGAAATCAAAGACATGATGGCAGAATCATGACAGGAACTTTATATTTTTGACCACTTTTTCTGTCATGCAAAATGCATTACTACATTATTAAAGAGTAGCCCAAGCGCGACACTAAAATAGGAGGTTTTTCACATTTCTATCGACCGTGAGCATCTCAGGGAGAAGTGTGGTGGAACCTGGGTTTATGAAAACTGTGTAATTACGGTACTCGCTATATCGCGGTCGGTATTATGCAGATAGTGCTACTGTGTATGTTTCTAATTT